TAAACATAAATTAAAAAGGGCATGAAATGGGATTAAATTATATTAGTTAAATGAGAAATTAAAAAAAAAATTACCGAGTTTCAAAATAAATCTTTCTGGCAACACCCCATTTATACAGCGCCCAAACCCATTATTATTGCGTTAATCCCCAGCTGATCCTATTAGTTATGTTTTTATCTATTTGCCTCGCAATTGGGTGCGCTTGCGTTCTGCTCTGCCAAGTCAACCACTACCAATTACACCCCTAACCAACTTCTTCCCACAACATCCAAGTGTTTGTAGTACGCGCTTAGGCTACTTGCCTACTTAATCCAGTCAACGCACGCCATATGCCCATCTCACGGTCCTGCTACAAACGCCCCACGTATAGAACTACTTAGAAAGCCAACTTCATTCACAAACTGATTGTTCGCCTGCGTGTCTGTCTATGCCTTAATATATTTCGTATTATGTACTACACACATACCTATAAATTTTCAAATGTATATATGTTTCTATACACATATATGTATGTATTTATGTGCGTTTGTATGTTTTTGTTAATTTCAAGTGGCTTAACGTGGATTTAAAATGGCAATTTTAATTTCGTTTTATTTATTAACTGCTGTCAAAACATTCAACCCGCCTAGCCGCCCATCGCCCAGCACCCACCGCAAATGTTCATTCACATTTCAATGCTTCATTCTCTTCATTTCGTTTGCTTACGTTTCCTTTTGAAATCTGCTACCAATTTTTAATTTTCTGCTGCCTTTAATTTATGTCCTTAATCGCTTTGATAATTTCAATTAAAATTACTTTCAAGTTGTCAATGACGCGTTGGAGGGGGGTGCAGGTGAAGAAAGCATTGAAAAGGGAATATATGTATGTATGTTTGTAAGTGCATGCAGTGTATGTATATATATATATGTACTTATGTATGTATGTATGTATGTACTATATAGACAATTCTTCTAATTAGAAAGCAATAATAAGACATTAAGAATGCAGTTAAGGCTTTCAATTGGTGGCACATGTGGTAGCTGTGCTTCTGGCGAGTTTCCAAAAGCTTAGCAGGGAGATGTAATTATTTGCTAACACGAGGTCAGGGGAGCTCCCAGACCTTCTCTATCCGGAAGTAATTCCTCAGGGGTTCCCTGTCTTGCCAGGTCATCGACCATGCAGTTAACAGCGAAGTTATCCGATTCGGACGATAATGAATTCAGACACTATTTCACCGTTCTCGAGCGCACCGTCACGTAGCCAAGAGCGTTGATAGCTGCTTGGCTGTCGGAATAAATATTCATTAGAGAGCAATCAATCTGAAGCCTTTTTTTGCGGTCATCTCTGCTTGGAAAACGCTGCAGTGATCCGTTGACCTAAATTTCAGGCTGAAGGAGACACCGGCACCTACCTAATCGGTAGAAACCCGAAGTCTTTTAGAATACTAGAGTGCCCGTAGTTCGAGGCAACTTGAAGCCCATCCCACTTAGCCTTACTGCGGCGCGCGCAGCGACAGCCCCCTCAACTAAGTTCAGGTAACTCTGCATAAGTTCGAACAGTGTTTCCCGAAACTTTCCTTTTGTTATCAATGCTACATCAGGCAACCATACGACAGCCACATCTTTCCAAAGCAACCAACAGATCGTTGACGACAATGACCCAAAGCAAGCGATGAAAGAACCGCTCCATGCGCGGTACGTCTGCTCACACATCTCCCGATTGAAGCGTTGCTCTTCCGCGACAGTTCTGTTGCAAAGCAAGCGGTAAATATACCTGACGAGGTCGGCTCCGACCTCTAGCTTATTTAGGGATCTGGCTATAGCCTCAGATAAAACATTCCATCGAATTCCATCTGCGAAAAAGTCTGCTCGATACTCTCAACGACCGTGTGTAGGGCCCTTTCAACAGACCTGCTCTTGCAGTAGGCATACCGGTAATGGGTACTCATATGGAGATTTTCGTCCAGTTTAGGTGCAACACATGAGCATTCGAAAAGTACTAAATGTGACCAGACCCAGGCGGTGGCAAAGAAAGTGTTGGATGCTCTCGCTTCTTCCATCGTCACGACAGCTGCAACACGAGTACTAGTTATTCGCCGGAAAGCCTCTTCTGCTGGCGTGCGCCCCATAAGTCAGTTGCTCTTAATAATCCCTACAACCAGCCGGGTTTGAGAATGTTGCAAATTTATAAGACCGTGGGTCTATTGTTAGCCAGTTAGGTTTGGCGTGCTACTCCACACATTCGTTCTGGCACCCCATCTTTTGTTTGACAATTCGAAGAAATTTGTGTCAGTTCGTTTAAGGTATTCTTACATTTTATTGCGGGTTTTGACGACATTGCAAAGCTTTCTAGAGATTTAGTGGCGGCTTGACTATCAAAAACACAGTTAAAAGGACATAGCTGAAAGTCCAGCTTGAAATAGGCTGCAATGGTCTAGCAGTCGAGAGCACCGCAACCCACCTACTCTTTGGTTTATTTTGGACCCGCCGATATCTAACTATGGTACTGTGCGATGGTCTTTTCAGAACCGAATCATATTTCCACTCTATTTTCGTTGCAACGCTTGTGGTGAAGTTCTTTTCAATAGCTAACGTCAGTATGCCGTTTTTTGGAAAGAAAATTTTCGCATCCTTCCATTTGTTAAGAGCACTTAACCACGTTTTTTCCAAGTAGGTTTTAAAATGTATCTTCCCTTCAAATACATTTTTTTTCAGAAAAAAATTTTTATTTAAAAAACAGATAAATTTGAAAACCTACCTGAGAAAAAGTCCTTTAGTACTTAGCACTGACTGCTTTGCTATTCGCTTGTAGCTCACTATAAAGGTCAGTAGCCCCTGTTTGGTCGGTTGGTTGGTTTAAGTGGCTGCAAGCAATAAGCAAGTTTGCCATTTTGATTCCACAGCTCGTGCAACCTACAGTCATTTGGCGGCGTCATACGAAGAAAGGCAGCTGCACTCTGAAATATTCTGCAGGAATGGTTTGCGGAGTGTCTTTAACCTCATCCTTGCGAGGGTGTACACACTGCAGTAAATTTGTACGCATCTTCCTTGCTCATTCCCAAAAGAGCTTTGGTTTTAAGTGGGTCGTAGGATACCCAGAACTGTCGGGTAATCATGTAAGATCCTATACAGTTCCGCCTCTGCTTGGCCGTTGAGTGATTAAGTTTCGGTAATTTTAGTCTTAATCTCCCTGAGCGAGGCGCCCACGTTCTCCGCGTGGGACACATTCAGTGTGGAGCCGCTCTTTGCTAGTTCGTCCACTAACTCGTTTCCTTAAATATTCCTATGTCCTGGGACCCATATTAGGTAATTTCGTATTGATCAGACATTTAGGTCAGCTATCTCCTACATTCAACCACTAGTTGAGATCTAACAGAGGTAGAAGAGAGTGCCTGCCTCCCCTTAATAGCAAACGTTTCGTTCTGGAAAATGCTTGCATAGTCTGGTAGCCGGAAGGATAAGTTTAGGTTATATTGTTCAACGAAAACCCCTGCACCAACTGCGCAGTCCATCTTTGACCCATCCGTAAAGACAGTTAAGCCCTGCAAGAACTCGACCTTTCCTTGATTCCATTCACTGCGGCTTGGGAATTTCGTACGGGATTTGCGGTAAACCCAGGTCATACGGTGATGCGTCTAGGATGAAACCGTGGCCGAACAGTCTATGATTACAGAACCCCAGGGCAGGCAGTCTGACGGCGCTGTTAGCAGCTGAGTTTTCGATAAAGATATATATGGATAATAAGTCAAGAAGGACGTTCAAAATATCTTTCGGACAGGATCTCATTGCACCTGTTACGCTAGCGGCTGTCGATCTTGGAATTCCGCTTAGCTTTTTAACTACGTAACACTTAGTAAGGGCTGGCCACCAGACCAGCGCCCCGTAAGAGATTATGAGTCGGACTATAACTGTGTACATCCAGTACACAAATTTTGGTTTAAACCTCATCTGTTACGCAACATTCTCTTGGCTGCATAGAGAGCCACCGTGTTCCTCTAGTATACATTTTCTCTAAGGTTGTCCTTCTCCTGTGGTACCGTAGAACATAATAGGCCGATCCACTGTATATCCATGTCACTACTTCTTTACCAACAGAATTCTTGCGGGCGTATATCGTCTCCAGGTAGACTTCCTGTTCAATATGATTCCCAAATAAATAACTAACTTCGTCCGCTGGAGTCTTTGAGACACCATTCAACAAAGGGGATAGATTTGTGGTAATACAGTGTTTATTCTTGAGGCTAACCATAATGTCTGCTGGATTGGTGTTTCGACTGCTTGCCTCCGGCCAGCTTGCTACAATATCTAAGACATTTATGTGGTACAACCACAATGCCTCCGCTAAGACCTGGCAACCCGTGGCCTGTGAGCTCAGCAGCAAATTCTTTTTTACCAGGTTTCATATAAGGGGAAAGAGAACCTATCCTTGCGTTGTGCTTCTTGACACGTATTTGGTCGCTGCTGCACCTTATGGACTTCGTTGCGAAGAAGAGACTATAGTTTACATGTCTGATAAGGCAGCCAAGGCGCACTTACGGCATGGGTCAGTCCTTTAATCACTTCAAAACTCACCCCGAAATATATGAAAGTCAATGGCTTGATAAATGGCATTAAACACAGAAGGGGTAAGGTTTCCAAAAATAAGTTCCTTACCCACTACCAGTTGGCTTCGTGGCACTTACATGCTTGGCTACCGAACCCGCCGTTACAATGGTGACTTCATGGATTTGAATCGGGATTGACCAAATTTTTGAAAGGGAAAATTATCGGGTTTTAGTAACTCATAAAAGCATGTGGAAGACCTAACAGATAGCGGAGCGTACACGCTTAGCAAGAACTTTATCTCTTCATATTTCATCGTAGAATGACGAACTTTTAATTAATTTTTCTACTTCTACCTAGCTATTATTGGTCGCAAAAAGTCTTTTAGCTCCTCGAGTACTATTTCCAACTACTTATCATCCAAACTAGCCAGTCCAAAATTCTCATCAATTCGACTTTCATCTTCTTTCTCCTCTCCAGGCATGCACCGCAAATCGATAGAAGCCCAACAAACATTGAGGGATGATTCCGGCGTTAGCGATCACGAAGACTCCGCCGGTTCGAAATCCAACGATGAATCACGTCGCCTCACCTCTTCCACCGAATCGTTGAATGTCGTCTCACCTGCACCGACGCGCGAACGCCAACAAACCTCCTCCAGCGCGACCACACCCACAGCAACTACCGCTTCATCATCGTCGCCGCACATTGACCTGAGCAGCCCCTCGCCGCCGACAACGCATGCCCGGCAATTGTCACCTTTGCAACAACATCAGCGTAGTTTTTATCAACAGCAAGCAGCGACATTAATACCGCCAACCGCTCAACCCTGCTATCATCCCCTCTTGGATGCCGCCAATGCCAGCGCTGGTGCGGCCACCAGCAAAGATTTCCACATGATTATGAATACGGCCGTAGCAGCTGCAGCGGCGGCAGCTGCGGCTAGTGGTGCTGGAGGCAGTGGTGGTAGTGGTGGTGGTGGTGGTGTTGGCGCAGCAGCAGCTGGGTCCGCCATGGGCGCTGCAAGTGGGCTGCATCATCATGCGCATGCGGCGGGTGCTGTGGGACCGTATGCGACGCTTGAACATGATCCGGATACTTTTAGGTGAGTGTTGAATATCAAGTTTGTGAACTTTGAGCTTGCCGAAAGCTTTTATAATCCTAAATTGCTAATCATTTTAATAAAAAGTAGCAAAATTTTTTCGAAGAGCGCTAATCTCCTCTCTATCTTTTTTTTTCACAGAAACAACTCCATCGCCTGTCTGCGCGCCAAAGCTCAGGAGCATCAGGCTCGTCTTCTCAACAGCGGCCTCTTTCTGCAAGTGCGTTCTTTTGCTGGTTTTCAAGCCAGCAATAATGTTGCGGCGGCGGCTGCCAGTGTTGCCGCTTCGAATCGGTCCAATAATATGCTAACCAACAGCAACAACAACCGCAACAGCAATGAAACCATAAAAATTGTTGACGATTCGGACGGGCAATGCTCACCCATTGATTTTGGCAGCATTTGCAATGCGAATAATAGCAACAATAGTGGCAATAACAACAACAACAGCAATATGGATTTTTGTTTGCCCACTATGCACCAACAACAACAACAGCAGCTGAAGTTGGAGCGCATGTCCTGTGATTTGTAGCAGTGAATTGCAACCCTGCAGTCTAAACAATAATATGTCCAACTTTCGACGAAGCTTGCATATGCAGGGCAGTTTTTACATAAAAAAAACGAATTTATTTATTCGAAAATTTTTTAAGCATATTTTAGCTTAATTATGAAAAATTAGTTTTTAAAGAATATACATAAAATGATATAATCATAGTTTTAAGAGCTAAAGCGTAAAAGTGGAAAAAGAATGTATAAAGGTTTGTAAAAATTAAATTTTAAAATCTAGCGGTAAATTCTTAAGGCACAAAAATTTAAAAATCAAATTTGTACATATGTATGTATGTATGTTTGTACATATGCATTTGTATAATCACTATTCCAGAATTTTTTATTGTCGGCACAGTTTACCGTTAAAATATCATAGAAATCTGAGAAAGAAATATAATTCATTAAAAGCTCAAAAAATGTTTTTAACCTAAAATAAGTTATTTTAGATGGGGCAAACTTGAATAAGAAGCTCCTTTCTAATACACATATATACATAAATATTTGAAACATTTAAAAAAAAAAACATAATTTGCACGAAAAAATGTACTTAGAGTTTAGTATTGCAAAATATTTAACAATAAAAATATTTATAGAAAAAAATTTTTTTTTTGTGCTCCAGAGGCAAGTATATAAACTTAATTTGATTTTTTTTTATAAAAACATATTTATTTTTTCAATATTCATTTCTTTTGTTATATTTTATACATACAATTTCAGCAAACTTCCCCGAATCAATTTGAAACTATTTGCAACATATAGAATTTTCCATCTCCTTTCATTTAATACCCATATTGCGATTAATTCGCTAAAATTAACATAAAATTCCAAGCAGCACTTTTTGAACCACCCCCGGCATCGATCGCTTCGACTGGAAATTTTCGGCAAATTTACTAGGCGCGCAGAAGTGCGCAGCAAGTACTGCAACCCAGCGTAAAAAAAGTCGCACAAATA